ATGAAACTGTTTAACCATCTCATCCTCTATCATTGCCTTCTCCTCTTGCCTTCACACTTTCCCAACATCAGGGTCTTTCCCAGGGAGTCTTCTCTTCTCATGAGATGGCCCAAGTATTGGAGACTCAGCTTCAGGATCTGTCCTTCCAGTGAACACTCATTTCCTTCAGAATGGATAGGTCTGATGTCCTTGAAATCCAGGGGACTCTCAAGAGTCTCCTCCAGCACCACAATTCAAAAGCATCAATTCTTCGGCAGTCAGCCTTCTTTATGGTCCAGCTCTCACTTCACTAGAGGGACTATACCATTGCCTAATTCCTTTCACTGTTCTTGTTGAAGTCGGGCTATGGTTTATTATTTGTGTCTTTTACAAATATTGTAAACCTCTTTGTTAGCTTATCTGATTTTAAAATCAAAGGTTTACAGACAAAATAATTACTTCAGTCAATTTCTATTGTTGTTCTACTCTTGCTGCTGTTGTGTTAAGAACAGAAAAAGACCTCTCCTGTATTAGACCTCACATTCATCTTCTACCAGCCTCCTCTTTGCTTCAGTGGTAACCAGTTACAGAGCTTGAAGGCAATGGCCCTCTCCAGTTCTTGCAGCACGGTAACTAGCATTCAGTAGGAAGTTGCCTGTGATCCTAGGAGCATATAGCCACCATGGCTAATAGTCACTGATAGATCTCCATGATCCTCCCTGAATCTCAATGTTTGTTGTTGCCCAGATCCTTTGAAAAAAAAAAAAAGAGCCAACAGCTCTTTTGTACCTTCTTAGTGAGATACAAGTTTTGCATGCTGACATTCAGAGCTAGAACCTTTAGCATGCCCACTTATGGATGATCTTTTCTGAAATCCCAGACAGCTGGTATTGGTTTGTGTTGCCAATATCAGGCTAGTTAGGTTGACTGAGTAAGACAGGTAATAATCACAAGATCACCTCCTGTGTTTAGTACTGTGGTGGTGCAACAAAAGGGGAAGAGAAGGCTCTGTACACGAGACCTCTGTTTGTGCACCACAGTCATTTTTGAGGAGGGTTCCCCCTGCATGGATATAGTATGTTTGTGTAAGTATTTGTCCCTTTGTAGCACCAGTATGACATCAAGACTTGACCTAAACCTGTGTCAATAGCTTCGTAACTGTAAGTGTAATGGAGTTGCTGATGAAGGTGGTGATTGAAGAGGGTGGATCCTTTAAGGAACAAAACAATGACAAATGGAATGTGTGTTGCTCTCCTGCCAAGAAGGGAGAGTTCTCACTTGTCAAGCAGAATAGATTTTGAAAAATAAGGAAGGCTTGTAGAAATGACAGCACATTGCTGTGAAGAAGTAGGTCACCTTTCATCATCTTTTGTTCAAAAGGGTTAAATGAGCATGCATGTGATACCATGGATAATTACTTATCCTTTTAGCATACCAAAAATAAGTTAAACCTTTAAATATATCTCAAAATGGCACATGGTAAAATGAGGAAAGAGGCTGAGGAAATGCTCACCACTGATGCAACTACTATTGTCCAGTAATTGCCTCTGAAAATTACACAGCAGTTTTATATGTATCTTCAACAATGCTGAAAAGCTTATAGTTGAGTTTATGACTGTCACAGCTCTTTGGCAGTGACAACTCTATTCAGAGTTTATCACTGAGAATCGGCAGTGATGTTGACATATTCAATACGTTACAATAATAATGACGACGGAAGTATTGTTCTGAAGATAAATCTTTTAAAAGCCACTTCCACTGATTGCACTACTTATATGCTCATTTCCACTGTGGTGTTGCTATTACTGTATTCCTTTATCATTTGTGATGCTCTGTTCTTTGTATAGTTGTTTCAGTGGAACAACTCACTTTCCTTCCAGTGGAATCTGAAATAGGGCCTAAAAGCCTGTAAAAGTAGCATATGTAGCTTTTTCTAACATTTTTTTCTTTGACTAAATAGGAAAAATGTTTCCCTACAGAACTGCAGATTTTGACACTGCCATTTAATTTCTGATGTATGCTGTCAATAGTGGCAGTTCTCTCCTTTTTCCAAACTTAGCAACCTATCAGAATGTAATTTTATTTTTTAAATGTATGCTGGATGAATATTGCTGCTGTAAACAGTGGACAACCATTCAGTTTCTAGAAATGCATACTTACTAGAATGTGCATCTAAATGAAGTATATTTAGCTTCAATGGCCAAAATATAAAAGAATAATAGTTTTATATATGGTCTGATGTTTTTGGAGTTTTCCCACTGCATTTGTAGCTTGGAAAGGTAGGTCAGATTTTATGTGAAAAATGTCTGTCTTCAGGAAAAGAAATACTGTATTTTTTGTGTATAAGATGCCCCATGTATAAGACACCCCCATTTTTCTAATCCAAAATTAAAACATCTAGGTGGGGCTTAGCAAGTGCAGGGGGAAAGGGATCAAAGCGCTGCAGGATCACTTTGATTCCCTGCTTTCCCCACCACTTGTTTTTATTCTCTCCTCAGCTTACTTCCGTGTATAAGACAACCTTCAATTTTTAGTTTAAAGATTTTAGACAAAAGTATAGTCTTATACATGGAAAAATACGGTATATAAAAGTTGGCTGTGACATGGGCAGTTCAATCTCTCCGCTCCAAATAGTTTTGTGTAGCAAGTTTTGTTCTCTGTAAAGGTAAACAGACTAGTAAGAACAGTGCAAGAATCTGAACATTGTTAGAGTGTCAGACAGAACACAGGATGGACTAATGCTTTACTTCAGTAAAGAACATAGCCTTATTGCAATGAAAACAGCACATAGTCTTGTGGTACCTCTAAGACTCACAGGCTTTGCTTGGCATGAATTTTTTGTGGATATAGCTCCCTTCTTCAGGTGTATGGCTTAAATCAGGGGTTGTCAACCCCCCGGTCTGCGGCCTGGTGCCGGTCTGTTGGCTTGTTGGAACTGGGCCGCGGATACAGATCGCCGCCCCTGCACACACATGCGCGATGGGCATGTCACACTTGTGGGGGGGCATGTTGCGCCCACACTGGGCATGTCACACATGAGGCAGGGGCGTGTCACACTCATGGCAGGAGTGTCACACCCACGGAAGCTCACTTCCCCCCTAGCCGGTCCGCGGCCCCAAAAAGGTTGGGGACCGCTGGCTTAAATATTATACTTTGTATATCTGAAGAAGTAGACTATGTCCACAAAAGCACATGCCAGGTAAAACCAAGGGTTTCACCAGACGCTTTCATGTCTTCTCAGTGAAGATGGGTTAGTTAAGTCAGTTACTGTCTTAAAGGGACTGGAAAGGCTTTGGTAAGGTAAAGAAATGAGTGTTGGAAACCCATGTTGTGACCTCAGAAGATATTCTTTGAAACTGCTCCATGACCAGCACACTTTTTAAAGCATATTTTGAACTCAAAGCTACCAAAGTTATAATTCTTTTCCACTAAACACACTGGCCCCTAGATCTTTGGTTTTGTGATGTTTCTGTTCTATACTCTCCTGTCTAGGGCTTTCCACAGAAATTGCTGTGTCCGTTTGTCATAGCAAGAACAATGACGTTTCTTGTAGCACTTTAAAGGGTAGCATGTTTTATTTAACATAAGCTTTTGTGGGCTTCGTTTGATAAATTTGACTGCAATAAACTTCTGCTCAGTAAAAATTCTTAATCTGTAGGGTGCTACAAGTGTCTTAATTATTTTATCATAGTGGCCAGTAGGTACTACGAATCTCACTCCCTGCATCCAGTAGAGCCATTTACTTGATGATTGGGGAGAATGGGAGTTAAACATACCTGTTTGGTGCCATATTGGGATAGCTGTCATACTACAAGTGATGGATTCAGATCTTGGGGATAAGTTAGTCTATTTTTCTTTGCTAACCTGGTTAAAGGAGGAAGAGAGAAGGGGTTGTGCATGTGTCTGCTTGTGCTTGTGAGAGCATGAGGGAAGAGAATGGCAGAACAAACAGGAAATTGGATAATGACTAACCACCTTTAACATGTAGCCACCAAGAGAATGCCGCCCTTGAAGGGAGGGGACACACACACGCCACTTTGAGTGCAAGGTGCTGCAAGCTGTGATCATAGAGAGAGATTTTCCTGTTTTAAGCCTTAGGTTTTTTAACTTACCACACTCATTTTTCTTACATTAGTAAGTCCTAGCTTTAGGATGATAGCAAATCTAAATATTTCTTGCAGTCTACCAAGTTGGTTATCCTGGTTGGCTAGCTCAGTGAGTTCTGGTTGCAGAGCCAGAGTTTGGGAGCTTCATTCCCCACCGTGCATCCCGGGAGAAGAGCCACCCCGTATAGCCTTAGACAACATGTACAGTTCTAGAGCACCACCAGCCAAAAGGACTTGCGGACCATTTCTGAGACACTATGAGGCTAGAAAAACCTGAAAATTAATGAATTGATTGAGTGGGATGCAGTCTAGGTAATCCTGGACATCCTTTGAATTCCATTATAATTTGGGTAAGAACACTTATCCTTACCTTTACTGTAAGAACTCTGAGAAGAAAATCTCTCATATACAACATTTATATAATATTTTAAATGTTTGTTATGCTTCACATTCATTAACTAAGTAATAGAATAAAGTGCACACTAAATTAAACTGAATAGGTAATGTTACCATCCCCCTTATTGCAGAACAGGGATATACTGTGTCTGGGAGAGAATGCCTTGCCTAAGGGTACTTTATGAGTTAATGGTAGAGATGAGATTCAACCCAGGCATTTCCTGACTTTCACCTCAGTCCAGCTCTCTCTCAAAAATCAGTGGAATTTAATATCATGATTTCAGAGTATTTTTTGAAGAATCATAATGCAAGAAGGGGATGGTTGGACAGATTAAAACTGAAGTGGGTGAAATATTAATTTCTGCAACATAAAACATGCTGTCAGACCTTAGTTAGTGCAGCTGATGGCTTATCTTCTGCTTATGCCAACCATGTGCTCATCATACAAATCCCTATAATAAACAAATATAGTGGAAGTGAATGTTTTAACCATTTTGCTTTTCTTTTCTTGACTAATAGGTGGTAAAAGAAAGTGGACCACCACATATGAAGAGTTTTGTTACTCAGGTGACGGTGGGTGAGTTCAGAGCTGAAGGTGAAGGAAATAGCAAGAAACTGTCAAAGAAACGTGCTGCAATAGCTGTTCTGCAAGAACTTCGAAAACTTCCCCCTCTTCCTGTGGTTGAAAAGCCAAAACTTCACTTTAAAAAACGTCCCAGAACAGCCTTAAAGGTAGTAATTTCTGCTTATATGAGAAGAAAATATGATGCATCCTAATAGAACAGTTCAGTTCTGTTCCGTTCTTACTTACATTTGGCTTTTACTTTTGTAACAGAGATGGGGGTATTCGTATACAAATGCGAATATCCCCACGCAGCTGGACTTAACATCCACTCATGCGTCCAGTGGTAGCAGCCCCGCTCATTTTTCCAGTCGTTTCCGGAGCTCCGCTCTCTTCCCACTTGCCTGGCCACTCCAGGCAGTGGGAGGGAGGATGCGTCTCCATGCACAGCTGCTGAGTTGCTAGCTGAGCAGGAAGAGAACAGAGCTCTGGGAGTGATTGGAAGGATGAGCGAGGCTGCCACCACCCCCAGACACATAGAGCCGGCTGCAGGGGCCAGCTCCTAGTTAAGTCTGGCTGTGTGGGGAGATTCGTATACAAATACTCCCATCTCTCTTTTGTAGCACATGCATTTAGTTACTGCTAACCTTGTTTCTGAAGTACAGTTGTGCCCCCCATTACGACGATTCCACTTTATGCCAATGTTTCTGCGATCGCAAAACGATGGTCTAAATGGGGGAATTTCGCTTAGTGATGATCGGTTCCCTGGTTTGGGAACCAATTTTCGCTTTACGACGATCAAAAACAGCTGATCATTGGGTTTTCAAAATGGCCACCGGGTGCTTAAAATGGCTCCCTGCTGTGCTTAGGGACGGATTCCTTGTTATACAGGCACCGAAAATGGCCGCCATATGGAGGATCTTCGCTGGACGGTGAGTTTTTAGCCCATTGGAACGCAATGAATGGTTTTCAATGTGTTTCAATGGGTTTTAAATTTCGCTTTACGATGTTTTCGCTTAACAGCGATTTTCCTGGAACAGATTAATGTCATTAAGCGAGGCACCACTGTAGTCTAATTTGAAGGTTTTTGTAAAAAAAATTCAGCTGTTATGATTTCACTGACTATTGTCTAAACTGACATGTCGCTCTAATTGATATTTTCAAGAACAATTTGACTATTGATATTTTCTCGACCATTTAATTCAGTACTATTGGCTTTGGATCATCATGTACCCATGTTTAGCTCCTGATAAAGTGGAGGACTGGCTTGTAATCCAAAATCTGGGGAACTCACCCTAAAATTTCAACATAGAGATTACATGCTGCCACCACCATATGCCTCCTGCCCCACCGGCTCCACCCTTTTTTCCCCCTCTGGCTTGGCCTAGCCAGATGAGCAAAAAAAATGAACCAGAATGACACAAAATAGGCACCCATTTTTGTGGGGAAAAAGAAGCAATGCACGGGCAATGGGGGGGGAATGAAAATGAAAGAGACATCTCCCACCTCAAAAGAAATCAAAACAAAAAGTGTCTGTCTGGAACATGCCTAAAAAGCAGTAACACATCTGAAGTCAGGAGGAATGTTGATACCAAGAAGGAATCTTAGACTGGGAGCGGTTATTGTCATTAGTTCAATGTCTCAGAACATTGACAGATGGCAGAATATATGTAATGCAGCACTTGAGCTCAAGCAGTAGTAGAGGGATAGGAATCCTTAAGACCCTTCAGGTAACAGCTTGAAAATGATGCTAGAGTATATTTAAGGAACTTCAGGAATAAAGGTAAAGGTTCCCCTTGACATTTTTTAGTCCAGTCGTGTCCGACTCTAGGGGGCGGTGCTCATCCCGCTTTTCAAGCCATAGAGCCAGCGCCTGTCTGAGGACAGTTTCCGTTGTCACGTGGCCAGCGTGACTAGGGAACACCATTTTACCTTCCCACCGAGATGGTACCTATTTATCTACTCACATTTACTGTACATGCTTTCGAACTGCTAGGTTGGCGAGGAGCTGGGACAAAGCGACGGGAGCTCACTCCGTCGCGTGGATTCAATCTTACGACTGCTGGTCTTCTGACCCTGCAACACAGGCTTCTGTGGTTTAGCCCACAGCGCCACCATACCTGGCTTCAATTTAGGCTTCACATTTGAGCTGCTTGGTAATTGACTTGGGTTCTGCAAGAATCTCTAACGTCTTATTAGGAACCTAACCTCTAATAAAGCTAGGCATTTTCTTGGACATTTCTTTGGGCCAAACCACATGGGATGAAAAATGCATTTTTACATTTCCATATTGACGCTGTGCCCCAAAACTGGCAGCCGTGGAGTCCCCAAATGGGATTGGATGAACCTTCTTTCTTTTACTAGTTTTTACTAGTTTTCTAAATAACACTCCCACCCGACCCCAAGCTGCTGTTTGGTTTGGAGAAATGACATGTGTTTTCCACACTTTGTGTTTATTATTGTGAGTGCCTATAAAAACAATGCTGTAACGCAGCTGCCTGTAACATTAGCATGGTGGCTTCATCTCTGTTGCAAAATGTCCTTTGAGGAGAGACTTTGCAGCATGAAAGGAGCATGGGAGGAAGACTCCTGCCAGCTGATTTTTTTCTGGTACATTAGTTAACATTTTTCTTTGCCTCTGTCTTCGCTTTCACCTCTGTCAGTGTTTGTTCCTCTCCTTGCTGTTGGGGGAAAATCTGGAGCCCCACAGGAAAGTAGAAATAGGGCAAGGGATAGTTTTTAAGGGGAAGTGTACAGCAGTGGAAGAGATAAGAACCTTGCTCCACCTATCTTCCTTACAAAGCAGCTACCTCAAGACTGCATTTATGATTCAGTCCTAATGTTCTACTAAGGTATACTATATTTAATTGCAGTTAGTAGCAATGGCAAATAAGCAATGGATGACAGAAACTTTGAGATGTTTATTTGGTGTTTGTTTCTTAATTGCATGGCACCAAAGATAAACAGTGTGGTTGTAAATGATAGGCTGCTCTGTAATAAAACAACTTAGAAATATTATTGGTGCATTAAAATTTGCCCCTTCTTGTTTTATGCACTTTAAGTAAAGATAGGACATAAAACTTCATCTAGTTATTATAGTTAACAATAAATTATAGTTAGGTATTAAAAGGTGCCTCTTCTGCAGACACAGCATATGGAGTTGACTGATGCTACTGTAGCCCAGCTCCTTCCCAAGAGAGTCAGTGCCACCAGAATGTTTTTATGAAAAGACAGCTGTCTTCACATAAAGTCTTTATGGCTCCCTTTTGATGAGGAACATTGTTTGTTGTATTTTTCCCATTATCTCTTTTTTTAAGATGTCTGGTGCAGAAACAGAACAGTCCAGCTGTATCCAGTTATTTTGTTATGGTCTCATTAAGTTTACAGACAAAGCTGAGCAGTACTCTTTGAGTCACAGCAAAAACAAAGCTAACTGCATCCTTGTCATCTGCCCGGATGTGCCTACCAACCTGGCTACAAAAACAACATATGAAAAAGCCGAGTCAAGCGGCTGAACCAAATGTTCAGTGGTAGATGAGAGTTTTAGGTGCTAGTCACCTCTGAACAGCTGTATAGCAGGTGTGGGGTGGCAGGTCTGAGTTTTGCAATGGAGCAATGAAAGGTACTTCATCCTTCCCCTGACTACTGCTTTCTCCTTGCAACCTCTACCACTGCCTCTTGTGGAGTGTAGATTCATAGTTGCTGTGTTACATAGAACACAACAGTGGGACATATAGGTTGCAGAAGGAATGCAAAGGCCAGGACAAGATAACAGGCAGGAATTCTGCCCCCCCTCTCTCCCACCCATTCCCCCTGCTTGCTCTTGTGGTTTCTTTCTGCCACTGTGCAGCTGTCTAATGACAATTTGCTTTGGAAGATCCAGAGCATGACAAACTGTTATGGCTGAATTTTAAAATAGAATGCACCACAAGCACTTTTAAATAATTCTTATACAATTGCCACTCCAAAAAAGATGCCTACATGCTTAGGGGGAAAGATTGACCTCTTTCCCCAAGCTTCTATAATTCTTTTAAACTCAGATTAAAAACAGTTCTCAAACCTAACAAGGAGAGTCAAATCAACTGCAGTTGGTTATGTGGTGCATTTAATATAGAATGAAGTGAAGTTCAGAAATAATTGACTTTAAAAAAATGTGAGCAAAAACAATGCATTAGCTAACAAAATATATCAGGATCCCAAGACTAACTCACTGAAACAACTTTTGAGGAAAGGAGACCTTTGGGCCTCACTATTTAATCGAATGCCCAGCTTGCCTCTTTGGTGTCCATGTCTGAAAAGTGGGAATGAGATAGGTTTAACCCATCATTCCAGGACTGCCACTGAGTGTGTCATTCAAAAAGCGAAGTGTGCTGCTTATTTACAGCTCCATAATACTTAAAGCACTCTTTGGGCAGTTTCCAATTCAATAATGCAGGCTACACATTGCCCACCCCACCCCCCCAAGCTGGGTGCTCAATTTACCAACCTCAAGTGAACCTCGAGCTGGCTACCTGGGATTGAACCCGGGTTATGAGCAGAATTGTGGCTGTTGTACTACAGTTTAATTACTGCACCATGAGGCTGTATTGTTCCCATTGACTGGGATTGAACCCAGGTCATGAGCAGAGTTGTGGCTGTTGTACTACAGTTTAACTACTGCACCATGAGGCTCTATTGTTCCCATTGACTCTGCTCAGACAGGCAGAATATCCAGTAAATAATGGTTTATTGAAAAGAGAATGAGTGATGAGCTCAAATGTTCCCTCCCACTTTCTCCTCTTTCTTCCTCTTCTTTGCATCCTTAGCTGCAATGGAAACTCCATGTCCCTCCTCTCCAAACAAGTTTCCACATGTAGATGTTCAACCAAAATTGTGATGGCCTTGATCCCGAGCAGCAACTGGACCTCTTATCCTGGTCAGAGGAGTGGGACTCAAGAGTAGGGCATCCTGATCTTACCCTCTAGATCAGTGGTTCCCAAACTTTTTTGGTCCGCAGACTGGCTGGGGAAGGCAGGGCACCCCCTGCGGTCATGCGCATGCGCGAACGGCAGTGCCACCGTTTACGCATGTGCATGAGCGTGCCTGCAGAAGCACCGCACCGCCACTCATGCATGCACACAAGTGTGTGCGCAGGCACAAACAGCCTTGCAGGGGTGAGTGCGTGCAGAGG